CCGTTCTATTTAGGTGACAGCGAAATGGATGATGCTTACAGAGCAGTTACGGTGATGCGTTTGCTGTGCAAGATGTTGGTCGGACTGGGTGTTTCCTTGTCGGGTCTCAAGATAGGTGGAACTCAGGATGATATTACAATGTCAGCTTATGAGTTTTATGCTGTCACTGCACGTATACAGGATCTGGTTGTTGAATGCAATAGCGAAGTGGGCTGGCATCACTTTATTGAATACAGGTATTGGAGAAATCTGGTAAGCGCTCGCTCTTGTTTTGATGTTGTTTGTCACGGTCTTTGTCTGCCTCGATTGTATGCTGTATGGAGTTTACGGCCTGTTGATTGCTAGCCAATAATCTTAAACACGATTTATTCTATTTCGACTACAGCGTTCTCTCAAAGTCACCGTCTCATCACCAGAACATATAGAAGATATTGCAAAGTTTCTGATAGCACAGCGGTCATTAGAGACATTCAAGTTTACATCGAATAATATCAACGTCGATCCTCAACGAATACTTCGTGCGCTTGACAAGCAAGGGAACTCGCTGAGATATCTGACTATTAAGAATACTAGCTTAAGCAGATGTATGCCTTTGTATACGATTGCTGGACTGAAACGTTTGCAATCCTTGCGGTTTGAAAATGTATCTGGCGTCAATGCTACAATAATTCGTCCTTTATTGAATGCAAAGTTTCCATGTATGAAACGAGTTCGTATAAGCGGTGACGAGACTGTTTGTAGTGAAGCACACATTTGGGCACAATCATTCAAGTAAATAGATGAAACACTATGTATGATGTATACGATATTTATAAAGTTTTGGATATAATAGATATAATATAGATCAACATGTATAGTAGGCTATCAAATAACAGAATACAAGTAGTGTACAGCTACTTCATTAAACTTTGTAATTAATGTCAAGGATCATGAATCTTGAATTCATGTCAAAAGAGATTGATCGATCTGTGTGCATCGGGCTTGATTTTTTAAGGTTGACAGATTTTCTTGATTGCCTCAGAAATATGGGCAATATGAAAGATGGAAGTTAACATCAAGTACTGTAAACACAACTTCTTTGGATTAAGTGCTATATGGTTTAGCATTATGAAAGCTTTTCTTAGTAGGGAAAGTTTTATTATTTTATAATTTATCTAAAATTCATTATCAACATTCTTATGCATTAACTAAGGCTGTGTTACTTTTGTGTATTAAATTTACAACAGTTTCAATCAGGACAATATTTACGATGGTAATACATTAGGATGAATCTTCCTTTGCAGAATGAGATTTAACTATAACAATGTTTTACGCAAAACTGTATTAGTATGACAATAATTATTGATCATATAAATAAAATGGATTTTGTGCATTTGGTTTCTTTTGCCCAGTCTATTAAATTGTACTGTTAGATAGTCTCTGACTATATTAATAAACTGTTTACACCACCAATAAAAATAACTGATGCTACTTGCCAGTATATAGGCTAAAAGCATAATTATTAATTAATGTCTTAATGGTACAACCAAACTATTACATATTACTATTGTTATATACGCCGAATAAATAGAGATTCCATCTAATTGACTTATACTATTCTCGGTTGCTGCATGCACGTGATAATCCGATAAGTGCTTATCATGATAATCTTGATTTGATCGTATTGATAAGTACAACTTACATACTTCGGACAATAATGCAAAAATTATTCTATCCGAGATGGCTCAAGAATTATTTGCATCGACTGTAAGTCTCTGATTCCAAAAGCAAACTAGTTTCTTTACATACTAATGCGGTATTTGAACTCATCCGATTGACATTATTCGCAGACATCCTCTCCAGTCTGTATTGTTAGTGATGCGGCCTGAACGAAAGAGGCAAACAGGCCAAACTAATTTTTGCTCTCAGGTAGCGTCTGTGTATTTACAGAACTTATTTTCCACTCTACATAACAAGAAACATGATAAACCCTCTGAAATTTTGAGAGACACATTTGGTTTCTCACTGAAAAGACAGGAAAGTTCCATTCCCGAGACTGGTAAGTCCAATCAACTTGAAGCGTGTCAATTAAATGTTGTCTTATTATAAACGTTGTGTAATTGGATGTAGGTATTGGTGTATATTTATATGGGAAGGCTAAGGAAGGAGATATAGTTTCTATGTATCCTGGTATGTATCATTTTATTTAATGCAGTACAGTAACATTGTATTATACTGACATGACATTTTAGGTACAATTTATTTCTCGGGTGATCCAATGTTTCTGGTGTCTCTTAAGAATAGCTATATATTAAAATGTAACAATGGTTTCTTTTTTGATGGCAAACCATATGGTAATATTAATATGGTATCCGCTCAGTAAATTTGTAGATTTCTGATACGTCTACTATATTAATATATGTAGGATTGTCTAAACATATATTCAAATCGTTATACAAGCGGATAAATTATCCTGGTGTACTTCCTACATGTGACATATCATGGCTTGAGAGAAATGATGAAGACTTAAAGTTTAGTAGCGACCCAAATGTTAATCAAACGTTGAGAAATATGAATGCTTACATGTATTAAAATACAGGAATCCACTTGCGATTGGTCAATTTGTGAATAATGGCACTCCTATATACAAGGCAAATGGTAAGATATAAAAATTGGTAAATTTGGTTATCATATCGCATAGCAATTGTATGTTTAATTTTACCACTTTTGTTGGTCAGTGAGATATCAAGAACTTGAAATCGACTCACTACCTATATCGCTTTGGAAATATATACCAAATATCCATTATGCTAGCAATGAAAGCATTACAAAGGCCAAAAAGGTAGTTGTTCTTGTTGCAACTAGAGATATCAAAGATGAAGAACTTTTTTCTACTTATATTGATGTGAGTTAATGTGTAACTCAGTGTAACTCAGTTTCTTTGTGATATACAACTTACAGCTTAGATTTATATGACAGTTTCTTTTTTTTGAGTCAAGCTTATAATTATGCAATACAAATTCATAGATATATTTAAACCAAACTTTTGCTTAGAATGGGAGACGTTCATTTCGACAATTATTTCGCCAACATTATTTCGAAATTATCCTTTTTTGGTAGTTTTTGTCAGTGAAATGATTGTCAGCAAAATAAAGCGGACGCCTTAGAGAATTAACAGTGACCACTAAAGTTCTTCCAGCCCTCCCAATGTGGTTAGCAACGACAATGTCCGATGTTAGTGATGAGGGAGGCCACCACCGACTCGACTTAGCCAATTTTATAATACCATTCAGGTATCTATTCTGATTCTATCTCTATTAATTTCGTTAATATATATTTAGAAAATTAACAACGTTCATCGATTTTCATCATACGGACGAAGACGAACAATATATAATCAGATTCTAGTTCAAAAGGATATCATTGTTAATTGAATTTATCCCAGATCGGTCAGAACATTTAGTATACACGCACATCGCAACCACCAAAGTAATTATTATGATTTGATAAATTCGCTCGC